GATTTGTTATTTGGCAATGTACTTAGCTCGACTTATGAGATAAAATCCATCTTATCACATAATTTTTACCTTTAAGAGCTGGTTATATGTAAAATCTTTTGAGCAAATCTTTGATAAGTTTTTAGTTTAAATTAATAATCTTAATAATGATTTTATATCTTAGTCAAAAGAGAGAGGGAGAAAACTAGGATTTATCATAGGTTAATGGTATAATCTTTTGAAAAATTCTTAAACTATTTAAGAAAATTTAGATAAACCTTTATTCTTTTATTGTGTTTGATCAAGTTCATGTATTTTTAGTTTAGGCAAAATAAGTACTTATGACTAATGATTAACTGATTATCATTAGTGAAAATATCATTTACCATTTCATGCTCACATGGCATTGATATGAGCAAAAATGGCAAGTGACCATGTCATCATGTCACATTATATCCATTATGACATGTTAGCACGTCATGTCAGTATCACGTGACATAAAATAACAAGTGATATTTTGATTAATAACAGTTTATCAGCTTTTAGTCATAAAGGCTTATTTGGATTAAAATAAAAGTATAAGAACTTGATTGAATATAATAAAAAAATAAAAGTTTATTTAAATTAGTGTGAAACAATTAAGAACATTTTTAGGTATTATGCCCAAATTAATTTAATTTCAGTAGCAACATTGTCTATAGACATCAACAGTACAAGTTTCCATTTCTAAATAGAAGTGATAATTTATTACTGATTCCCAGCTCGTTGTTTTTCTTTTCACTTGAGATTCATCGTATTAAAATAGTCTTACGCTAACCCTTGTGGATTATTAAAATTAACGACAGTGAGACTTTAATGAGAGTGAAATTTGAGTAAAATTCTTTAAATCAAATCTAAAAGATTTTTGTATTAAAAATTACTCAATTAAACTAAATTTGAAAACCTGAATCGATAGATTGAAAGTCTTCATTACATCAATCAAATGTGAAAATTTTTAAATAATTTAGATATGTTTTGATACTTCATTTAAATTAATAGGTATTTTTATTGAAAATTTTGACAAATTTTCATCATTCAATAAATATATAAACTTATGAAGAGAAAGGTCAAAAGAGACTCATTTGGGAAAATTTTTTGTGTTTAGGGGTGTTAAGGAAAAATTCTTGTTTTTTTATATTCTTAAATGATAGTTATAACATAGACTTATAATATGAGTATTGTAATTATTAAGATTTCATCTAGTTGATATTTTTATTATTTTCTTATTTTTTATAAAAATCATATGTAGTTTGAGATTTGAATACACATCGCGATGAATGGATAATACACTATTATTTTTTTTTAATTTTTCAATCTCAATTAATATCAAGGTGCCTTCAAAATAATTTGAAAAGGGAAGTAACCAAAAAGTTTGCAATTAGAGATTACTAGATTGTGCTTCATTTGATGCTCTTGGGGGGCCAAAAAAAATGAATGATGGTTGGATAATAAAAATGATATGGAAATAGTTTTTATTGTTTTATTGGAAATATTTTTTTATTATTATGATTGGAGAATGAAGGAGTATATGATAATTGTTTAAAAGTATAAACTATTTGTTTTCAAACCTAATAAAAGGAGAGCTATAAAGATAAGCATGTGAAGTAATGGTAGAAATATTATATGTTGTTTTGGTGTTTTTGCTGCATGAAAAGTGGAGGAGTTTATTTATTATACTTAGTCTTGCATTTTTTGATGGGTGATCGTTCATCTTTGTTAACGGTGGGTTTGCTCTATAATGTAAGCTTCAGTAAAATTTAGTCTTGTGAATTCTCTGATGGGCTGATTATGGATTGCTTTTGTGGTGAAGAATCTTGAAAAAACTCTCTACCTACTTGGCTTTTAATTAATGAGGGTAGGGTTTGTTCTTTTGGTGCTTTCAGTGTTGGGGTTGGTGTTGAAGATGCTGAAGCAGCTGCAGAACTTGAAGCATCCCATTATAGAAGTTCGAGTTCATTAGAATCAAACAATTTGTAGTTGGCAATTCCTGTTTGGATTGCTCTATTTGTTAAACCCACAGTAAACACCCTGATTTGTTTGATCAAGTCCTAGTAGTGTCATGTAGTTGATAGTTTGTAATGCTACCAACTTTGTAATGGTCGCACCAACCAATTTTTCTTTGGCCTTCCAAATCCATTTGTGCGGTATTATCTTCCAAAATAAGCTGTATGCAGTAACTAAAACGAAACAAATGTATTGTTTGATTTTTTGTAATAGTAGTAATTATCATGGTAGATAATTAAAATTATGTCTATTTCAGTTGATTGGAAGTTGATTTTTATAGCGTAGTGTTTTACGAATGTTAAATACTAATTTCAAATATATATTGTGTAAATAATGTTATTAAGTAATGTGAAAAAAAAAAATCAGATACTGGTGGTTGAGTATTGGTTGAAAGAAATGAGCAAACAATCAAAAGGAAGATATACAGGTTTGAACAATCATGTTACAACTAGAATATGATTTTCAACTCTTGGAACATATTCTAATTAGGGCGCATGCTAAATTATAGGTAATCAACAAAAATATAAATATACATGATCAACTAGCACAGTTGAGGATAGGACTGGGCAACGATCGGTTGGAACAGCCCAACCGACCGCAACCGTCGGTTACTGCAACCGACGGTTGTTTTTGCAACCGTCGGTTGTGCCGATCGGCCTCGTCGGCTGATCGGCTCGGTTGTCGGGGGGAATCCTTTCCCCCCGAATCGACCGAAAAAACCGAACCTTTTCTTTTGGGCAAGGTCACCCATGGGCCCCCGCCCGGCTACCCTGGCAGCACTTCACTATTTCCCCCCGACCCCCCTGACTCGGTCCTGACTCCTTACCTAATTCCCCCTCCCCACCCGCCGACCTAACGAAAGCCCCCCCTCCCACGAGTCCCGACTCACCTGATTCCCCCCGCGCGGCCCCCCCTCCCACTAGTCCCGACTCCAGACGGACCAGACCTGATTCCCCCCGGCCCCACCTCCCACGAGTCCCGATCCTGACCCGATTCCCCCGTCCCCCTCCCACGAGTCCTGATTCCCCCCTGCCCCCCTCCCACAGTCCCACGAGTCCCAATTCCCCCCAGAAACCGACCAAAACCGACCTTCTAAAAAATCGACCGAAACCGACTTTATATCATTGCGGTTCAGTCGGTTATATCCTGAAAAATTTTGATCTGCCGTTTTGACGAAAAACCGACCCGAAACCGACCGAAACTGACCCATGCACACCCCTAGTTGAGGATAACAAAGGATCAAAAGAAAAAAGGCATACAAATAAGTAAACGACAAAAATATTGAATAGTAAAATAGCTCGGTGGAAACTATCATGAAACAAATGTAAAACTTAAGTAATGGAAATAAAATTGCATTAAAATGTGATATGGTATGAACAAGGAATTAAATTAGAAAAAAACATAACAGGTATCATGCCATAGTGATAGTTAAATATCAGCTACTTCAAAAATATCCAAAAGCAGCTATTTAGTATTTAATATGAATAATGAAATTTAAAGTTGGTAGAATTAGAAGAGCTTTTTTTTATTATTTATTTGAAACTTTCTAATTTGATGGAGAACATCTTTCTTTTAATTGATGCTGAAACTATGGTGCATCTACGCTACGAATCACGAAATGCATTGCATTTTTTCTGTTTTTTGGTAGTATGAATATTGAAATGAGAATATATTGAAATGAAATATAAGAGATATAAGCTGCATAGAATAGGGACCATAGTGTGCTTTTTATATAATCTTTCGAACCAAAATATTAATAAATATAAGAATCAATATTAATGAAAAATTGCACATAAATTTCTAAACAAACCTGAAAGCAAATTATCAAGCATTTCTCGAAAGACAATATTTTTTGTTTTACTGATAGCTAAGCCATTCTCATCAGTTGCGAAAATATTCAAGTCTTTTTGAGATGTTACTCTCGAAAGTATTACATATAATTGGTCATGCGTGAATATAGGTAGGTTCAGGAAGGTATATGTCAATTTTGTTTAATATTTGTTCTTAGCTTTTATTGATTGTTACTATAACCCTTGATCTAAGGTAATTAAAATTTATATAATTTTTTTTCAAAATCCATAAATCACTAACAAAAACCGCTGAAATCCAACTAGACATTCGATATGTACCGAATGATCAACACTCGAAGATCCTCCTTCCACTAAACCCAAATACCCTAACAAAAACCTTCTACCTCTACATGGTGAGATTTGTCAAACCCCAATTTTCGAATCATTCTATCAGAACTCCACTTATGCATGGTTCAACCAAAGCTAACAAATTCAATCCGAATTGCTTCATAAAGTGATGCATTATTCTGATAAAATCGTTATCTCATATTCCCTAACTATTTCAATAAAGGAACTAAATTGACAAAAAACCTCATAATATAAAGATCTACGAGGTATTTTTTGACCATTAATTCACCTAAGTCATAATCTTTTTTTCATAGGTATAAAGACTAAATCAAATGTAAATAACAGTTAATGAAACTCAATTGAATAAATCTTTAGATAATAGACTACTTAATTAGATTTAAAAAACGATTAAAACTTCAATTGAATAAATCTTTAAATGAATGATATAATTAACTAAAACTTAAAAAGGTTCAATTAAAGTGCATTTTAGCAAGTTATAATGTTGTTGAACAATATCGTCTAAATGAAAACTAAAACTTAAAAAAGAAAGTTGATATAACTATAAATTTTTTTATCGAATTTGAGTATTTGACTGATTGATTGATGTATTATCTCTCTACTTAAAAGGTAAAGGTTCAAATCCCCTTTCCCAAGTCCAAAAAAAAAAAACTTTAAATTCCCTTATCACCTTTTTTTTTTAGTATGTATTATATGATTTTAGGAAGTACACAAAGAAAGAATTAAATGGGACTTACTCTTCTATTTCATTTCTTTTCTCACTTCTATTTTGGACCTGGGAGGAAGGGGATAGAGGTTGCAAGAATAATGAACAAGAGTTGCTAACATAAAGAAACTTAATCAAAGTTTCAATTACGTACTCACTATCCATTAGAAAAAAAAAAACCAACACTAGCATTGAGTGTATAAACAACTTTAAGGGTTAAAAATACAACAGATGTGCACCCCTAACTGTGAAATCTAAAGTTTAAATCACAAGCCTTGATGAACACTCGCACATTCTTCAAGTGGTATCTAGATCATTGTTTTCATGAACTGCATATACGTTTGTTGACATGGGCAGGGAAGGGTGTAACTCTTGGCGAGGAAACAATAGCTTCAACCGGAAAGCATCAACTCCATTCAAGTAGTAGTGAAAAAGCCGTTTTGCCCTTATAAAACCAAGACGGCCATAAAGTGCCAGTGCTCCTTTATTTGTTACTTCTGCTTCAAGTGTAACCTTCAAATATACAATACATGGGGCAGTCAGTTTTTTGAATCTCATCATTGCCGCAAACATCCCATGGATTATAACTCTCTAAAGCTTACATGAACATAATGATCACCATATAGCCTAACTAATTACGAGTGGTGAAGAAAATACTCAAACTTTTTTCTCCAATTCTTATGTTATAAATGAATTTGCAAACTAAAAAGGATACCTTGGTAAACAGTAAAATTATTTTAGAACCTTTCCACTTTCTAAAGCAACTCATAAAGTACCGAGTACAGGGATATACAGAAAAGCATAATCTTGAAAAGACAAAAATAGCTAGAGCCTAGAAGGTGTTATTGGTTTCGAAACACTAAGATATCAGTGAAGGAAAAATATCTCAACCATCATCGAAGTTTTGAAATAAGAGGCCATCTTGATAAGATTGCATAAAGTTCAAATGCAGAAAAAGATAAAGTTGTGCCGATGCTAATTTAGTAAGATGGTTTCTGATTCATGTACAACATCCACTTTAGTCGAATAGAGGATCAAGGAAATCATCACTACTTCAATGGCTACCCAAAACCATCAATTCAGAGTTCAGGCAGCATATACTAGGCACTAAAATGGTCAATGCCCTGGTGTTTAAGAACATAAACAAGGTCAATTGTTTGATGAGTGGAGATATCTCCACAGAAGTAACTGGTTTACAATGTAATAAATTATATACGCATTGGCATATATGAAGATGAAAGAGTGAAGCCTATTAGAAAGATGCAATTCATAAGCACACTAACTACAAATATAGCAAACAAATTCAAGTTAAACAAGACATTGGTACAGCATCTTATCCTTGTTAAACAGAATGAGATTAACCAATGATACAGAAATGAGCAGCAATATCCAAATTACAAACGAAATCACCAAGACAAAGAATGAAAAAATCCCGTACCTCTTCACACCCTGATTCCATCATCATTTTAATGGATCTGGTAACCAGTTCAGTGGCTGCAACATAAGAAAAAGGCATCAAAATTCAGTGTCTACATTTTACATAAATTTTGTGGACTATGCAACCATTGAGATATGAACTGATGCGATGCTCACTTATCAACTTGCAATCAAAGGAATCCAACCCATTCAAGAAATTTAAGAAAAGAATTATTACACATTAAACAGCAGTAAGATAGAATGACATCAAAGGGGTAAAAAAAAAGCAGTGGAAAATTTACCAATGCCTCTTCCACGATAAGGCTTGATTACAACTAACATGGCAATGTAGCCCCTGAAAGTGTTCCTATGTTCTCCCATCTTGCAGACCACGGTTCCCACGCACTTACCGTTGTGAAAAGCCTGTTTTTTGTTTTTAAAATCAGGAACTAAAAGAAAAAGAAATTTTGGGAGAAACCCATTGTGCAAATGCAAAAGAAATAATCGAAAACAAAAAGAAAGGAAGGGAAAGAAGAGATTACGAGGAAGGAGAGTTGGGGCCAAAGATAGACGAAATATCGGTAGGTGAAGATGGAGTATGGCTCGCTGAGTTCTTGATCGACCAAGCTCATGATCAGAGGCAGGTGATGCTCGCCTCCATAGCTCACATACTCTATCTCCGCTTCTTCAAATTCCGCTTTCTCTTCTTTTTCTTCGGAGCTTGCCTCCATTGTTTTCTCTTCCTTCACCGTTCTCTGCGTTTCTTCTTCTGCGTCAAATGTCTTGGTTTCAAGCCAATTCACATGGGCTTCTATAGAAGTTTGGGCCCCATACAGAGGCCTACTACATCCACTTCATCATTTTATTGGGCCTAGCTGCTCGGATTTGACCTGAAGTGATTTACAAACATTTGAGTTTTTGACACAATGTTTAAAAAAACTAGAACTATTTTGAAAAAAATTTAATTAGGTATTTATTTTTATTATATTTAATTAAATTTTTATATTTTTATTTTAAATCAAATAAAATTTTATATGTAAAAGTTGATTAATTGTTATTAGTCAAAATACTATTTGTCATTATATATCATGTAATGTTAATGTGATATGTTGACATATTATAATGAATTATAATATGACCATATGATATCTTCACCCTTCATGTTAACATTACGTTAGTACTATGTCAATACCATATGAATATAAAATGACAACTAAGATTTTAATCAATAACAATTAATTAATTGTTAGTAATAAGTACTCATTTAATCTAAAAAAAAGTGTAGGGACTTGTTTTTTAAAATGTAAAAAAAGTCTAAGGATTTGATTGAACTTAATAGAACAATAAGAGTTTATTTGAATTTTCTTACATAGTTTAGGAGATTTTTTCAAGTATTATGTCATTTTTTATTTCATAAATTTCATTCATGTTTTTTGCAATTTCAATTATTTTTCTTTCCAATTTGTTGGCTTTTTAATTCTTATTTTATTTTTGGTGCTTTAAAATTTAATGTGTTTATTGGGAGAGGTATGACCTTTAATTTTAGAAAGGCATGTACCTTTAGAAGGACATATTTGTTCACTTTTGAATAGGTTTGTCCAAATGAAGAGGCACATTGGTGATATTTCAATATATATAAATACCCATCCCCCCTTTTTGAAAAATTCATTCTAAGCATTTTGTGTTTCCAAAAACTATATTCTTCTTCATTCTAAAATTCCTTTAAGAGCAGTGAAGAGTTTTACGAGTTTGCCAAATTTTATATTTGACTACACATTAAAAGATTTGAGTGTTTCATTGCATATGAGGGTAAGACGTCATCAACTGCTAGTTGATAACTTTATGATATAAAATTAATTTGCCACATTTTGATTATAAAAAATAGCTAAGTCCTTATACTTTTAAGTTATTTTAAGTAGCTTTTATATTTTTATTATTTAGTCTACTACATGTTGAATTATTTTAATTTAAGTAAATTTAACTCATTTTCATATAAAAAAGTCTTAATTTGGGAATTCACTAATTTAGTCTCTATTTTGAAGGTTTTTAAAGTGTAAAAAGCTTCATGGAAGTAAAATGTGCAAGGAAAGCTAAGTGAAATTTTTTTTGAACATGTTGTGATATTTTTACCATAACTCTCTCCAGAAGTATGATTAATGAGATTTTTGGACCACTGAAAATCTAAGAGAAAAGATTACAATTTTAATGTTTATCACTTTTCTTAGTTCAGATTGGTAGCTAAAAAGACATTTTTAACAGATTTCCAAATAGAATTGTTGAGAGTTGTGGTGCTAGAGCTAGCTTCCAAAAATAGATATATGACAGAAAACTTGGAAATTAGGTTCATTTAAGCTTATTTAAAGGACTTTTTCAGAGAATTCTTGAGAGAGGAGGTAGTAGCTATTTGAAGAATTGGAGCTATGAATCAAGCAAGAGAACAAGAGAAATTGAAAGAGATTCACGATCAAAAGCTTCAACATCACTTTCTTTCTCTATTTTGTGTTTCTGTTATTTTCTTTGACTTGAATTCATAGATAAATTTCTTTAGATAATGTTTTACTTAGATAGCATGAACTAATTTGCTTTTCTAAGATTATGGAAGATTTCAACATATAATCTGAATATTAGTTTCTCTTTTGTTTATCATAAGTGGATATATTTTTACTTATTCAAATCTATTCTTAATGTTTTTGATTGCCTAATTAACAATTAATTGAATTGGGAATCTAATTGAGACTCAATAGAGAGATTTTAGATTGAACTAAAATTTGAATAATGTAGACATACGCCAATTTTCATACATAGCCAAATTAGGAATCTAGCTTAATGAACTTAATTTAATTGATTCCTATAGACATATTGTGACCTAATTAAATTAAGTATTTGTACAAGTATCTCGATGGAGACATATACATAACTTTGGATTCTAGGTTACTAAAACCACCCATGAATGTAAATAATAAAAGAAGTTGGTATTATATGAAATGTTGAATTAACTCATAATTCTAGGACTTTAGCCTATTGTCTTTCTTAAGTAAATTTAATTTATGTTAGTTAATTTAGTGCTTGCTTAAAATTAGCTTTAATTAATTTTTTTAAACATTTCAATTATTTAATTAAAATTAATTTGTTATAAAATTTAAGAATAAATCTTTGTAGAAACGATACTCTGCTTATCACTATATTATTTGTTTGCGATAGCATGTATTTATGTGATAAATTCGTCAACAAGTTCTTGAAGTTGTTGTTGGGGATCTATTTTCTTATTTATTTGCTCATATTAAAATTCAACAGATTAATCTAAATTTAAGTTTTTCATCTTTGTTTTTTTGAGGTTCGTTTCGTCGTTGTATGAAAAGAGCAAAAAGCTTAGGGATTGTACCGTTTGATCTAGAGAATGAAGAACATTCTGAAGACTTCAATGAGAAAATCCACATGGTTTTGCTAAAACAAGTACAATGGCTGATCAACAAGGTGAACAACAAATTCAAAAATGCATAATAGCTAAAAATCATTGCTTAAGGGATTACATTGTTCCATTGGTGCAAGGGATTCCATCGAGCATTCGAAGGTCAGCTATTCAAGCCAACAATTTGGAGATAAAACTAGTTATCATTACCATGATACAAACTCCAATCCAGTTTGGGAGTTTTCCAAATACTGATCCAAATGCCCATATTTTAAACTTCTTAGACATATGTGATACCTTCAAATATTATAGCATCATAGATGATCCAATTCGTTTGAGGTTTTCCCTTTTTCATTGAAGGATAAAGCTAAAACATGGTTGAATGCACTTTCCACTGAATCCATAACAAGGGATGATCTTGCTCAAAAGCTCCTTGCCAAGTTCTTTCCTCTAGCCAAGATAGAAAAAATGAAAAATGATATCATATCATTCATGCATCTAGATTTTGAATTGTTGTACAAGGCTTGAGAAAGATACAAAGATTTACTTCGGCATTTTCCTCATCATGGTCTTCCAAGGTGACTAAAAGTGTAGACATTCTACAATGACTTGGGCGATCATATTCCAACCACCATTGATGGTATTGCGAAAAGAGCTTTAATGGGAAAGTCAATTGACAAGGCATACGATTTGTTGGAGGAAATGGCTGGATATAACTACTAGTGACTAGTAGAACGATCAATGCATAGGAGAGTGACTATAGTTCATGATGTAGATGCCATTTCAACACTATGCGCACGAGTAGCAATTTTAACTAAACACTTGAATCTTTTAGTACTAACTTCATTCAAAGTCCTTTCGTAATTTGTGAGTATTATGGAGACAATAATGCAAGCAATCAGTGTCCAAGTATAGAAATAATGTTGTTTATGGGGAACAGACAATAGAATAATCCTTACCCAACACTTACAACCCAGAGTAAAGGAACTGTCCAAACTTCTATTGGACCAACAATCATGGATCATCTTCATCTTCAAGACTAAATGCATCTCCTAGATTCCAACAGCAAGCAAGAGCACCTACCCTATATAAAAAGCTAGATTTAGAGGATGTGTTGAGGTAGTACATGATACAGAATGATAACATCATTCAGAGTCAAGTAGCATCACTTTGAAACCTCGAGATTTAGGTTGGTCAACTTACCAATTTATTAAACAACAGAGTTCAAGGAATACTACCTAGTGATACAAAAGCAAATCCATTAAAGGAAGGTAAGGAACATGTCAAGACTATATCACTTTGAGAGTCAAGTAGCATCACTTTGAAACCATAAGATTTAGGTTGGTCAACTTGCCAATTTATTAAACAACAGAACTTAAGGAATACTACCTAGTGATACAAAAGCAAATCCAATAAGGGAAGGTAAGGAACATGTCAAGACTATATCACTTTGAGAAGTGGTAAGGAGATTGAAAGTAACTCAAATCGACCTGAACAAAAAGACAAGATAGTAGAGAGTAAAGACCAGATTGCTAGTTCCAATGAGCAATGTCAACATTTCATCAATGTTTCAAGAAACAACAATATGAGAGCTAGTTTCAAAAATTTGTAGAGGTGTTTAAAAAGCTTTACATCAACATTTCATTTATAAAGGTGTTGGAGCAAATGCCTTTATATGTCAAATTTCTGAAAGACAATAATACTCACTGAAGAGTGCAATGTAATCATTTAAAATAAACTATTTCCCAAGCTTAAGGACCTAGGCAGCTTTACTATTCCATGCAAAATTGGTGCTTTATTTTTTGTCAAGGCTTTGAGTGATTTAGGGGTATATAATTAAATTAATGCCATTGTTTATTTACAACAAGTTGGGTTTTGGGGAGATTAAGCCCACCATCAGGACTTTACAGTTGGTTAGTAGAACTCTTACATATTCGAGGGGCATAATGGAAAATGCGCTTGTTAAGGAGGGTAAATTCATATTGCCAGTAGATTTCATAGTACTTGTTATGGAGAAAGATAGAGAGGTTCCATTATCCTTGGGAAACCTTTTATATGCACCGCCAAAGCACTTATTATGTTGGAAAGGAAAATTTTACCTTGAGGGCACAAGATCAAGAGGTAACATTCAATATTTTTTGACCTTTAAAGTTTACTAATGATCATGATAAGTGTTTTGTAATCACTGTGGTGAATAGAGCCATAAATGAAGTGTTTATGGAAAGTCATCCTATTGACCTACTTGAAGTATCATTGCTTGCGAAATCTGAGACAAACAATGAAGATGTCATAGAACGTGTTAATGCATTAAATGCCCCATGTTATGTGTTGGGAACTCAATTTGAGTTGTTAGATTTGT